TTAGACTCAATAGCTTAAGTCTCATAACATTATACATTTTTATGTATACATATTTATACATTTATATATATTATATATAAGAACAGTTGTTCTTATACTTTTTTGGTTGGACCTTTCAAAAGAGCTCGGGTTTAGGGTTTTTATTCATTTCTATTAACAGCTCCTAGACAGACTCTGGCTCTCTGCTTATCTCACTTTGTAACCAAACCTTGGCTGAGTTAGGCACTACCACCAAATGTGAGAGTTTTTCGTTTCAGACTCTCATGAAATAAATAACTCAGACTTAACTGAAATAAGTCTTTCAGCTAAAATTCTTGCAAGTTGAGATAAATCATTTGAGCTGTCACTATAGTGTATATCAGGTGAAATTCTATTGGTACTCAGTCTGTAAATATATTTAATCTGCTTTTCATCCAACCCACATTTCTTCCTCATACTATCAGAAAGCAGATACATCATAACTTGCATAATATAAAAAAAAATCATTAAGTATTTTTCAACTGAATCTATAAATGACTTAAGGATACTAGTTCTTGTCTGAAATGTTAAATAATCCATTTTAATATGGAAAATAAATCTAAAATGAACAAATATAAAGGTTGACCTCTATTGTACAAATGTTGATTGTATTGTTGTAAGCTGTTTTTAATGTTGTAATTTGTTTGTTAGCTAGAGACAGCTGGATCATTGATGTAATGATCTAGAGACCTTGCAAAATCTCCAAAACAATGCTTAGATTGTAGATATGAAGCAGTGTGTTGTGTTGGTTTCAAGAAGATAGTTATTTCAAGATAGTAGAGTGAAACAACTAGTATGTTAGCTATTATGGTTATGTCATGAAACTTAATTTAATTTTACATTAGCCCTAGTATTGTTAAGAGAAGTTTAAAGATCATTTTTAATGTAGGCTTACAACAAAGTATGACAATGTACAAGTATTCAAGCTTGTAGAAATATGAAAGGAAGAAAAAACTAATTTGTAATTGCTATTTGGACTAGTCTTTGAGTTATGTTCACCAGGTAATTTAGAGGAACCTACTAACAAAAGAACATTATAACATTTGGTATCAGTAGTGCAATTATTTTGGTGAAAAGATAATAGAACTTTGAATACATTGCAAATTACACTTCAGTTTTTGAAGATGACAACCATGAGGTCAAGTAGTGTGATTCAAGCTTTACTGGAGATGATAAAATTATCAAGACCAGATCAGTAAGAATGAAAACAGAAGATTTAAAGAAGATCAAGAAGAAAGAGAGAAAATTAAAAGATCATTGATAAATTTACAGAAGATTAAAGGAAGGGCAAAAAGAAAGAGAAAGAAAATTCAAATAAAAATGAGAAGAAAGGGACAGAAAATTAGAAGGATATGACAGGATGTTAAGAGAAAAGTTCAAAGAAAGAGACCTATTATTTAAAGAATTAAGATAAAAAATAAATCTTAATTAAAGACAACATCAATGAAGCTATAGGGGAATGTACAGATGAATTACAACAACAAGGTGAAGTAAAGAAACATTTCAGTGAGATAGAAAAGAGTATTATTGAAGTAGAAAATTCTATCATTGATAGAATAAAATATCTGGAAAATAAAGATGAAACCAGTCGCACCTCTTTCTGCATTGGCTCAAGTGTTCCAACCTAAAAATGTCATCTACTACTAGATATAGAATAGGAGAAGTTATTTGGTCTATACCTATTACCACTACTGCTATAGCACGTGTTGTTGAAAGACCTTCCTGGACTACTAGAACCATGACGCTAACAAATCCAATTCCAGAATGTATCTGGCTGGTTCAACATTGGCCAATAGAGAAAGCAACAGAATAGGATGGGAAGGTACCATGTGAGTCATACAAGTCTCAGTGTGAAATCATTTCCAGAGTGAATGGATGGAATAGTGAACAACAAGCCATCTGTGTTGCTGCCCATCTAAAGGGAACCAGCTTTGACATCTGAAAGCCATAGCCATAAAAACTATCAAGCATTGATAGTCATTTTATCTATCAGGATCAGAATGTTGCACCAGAATGAAGTATCCAGAGCAAAGTTCCAGAATAAGATATGGAGTAAAGAAGACCTTAGTTGAACTTGCAGTAAAATTGGGGAAGTCTGTCCAGTTGTCTTATTTGGGCACTCCTCATGAAATGATAATTCCTTGACACATGACCTATTTATAAATGTAATAACAACTTCACCCTCATTTCTGAAATCTTTTGGAGAATCCTGTGTTACTTATTACCTGGATGATGGAAAGGGCTTGTTGTACTTAAATATTTGAAAGGCTGTTGATAATATAACATGCAGACAATAAGGGGCTGTTTGGGCCTTAAAGGCTGTCATTGTACAGCCACCTTTTAGAAAAGTAAAAACTTAAACCCACACTTTAGTTTTAAGGAAATCACTTATTCCCCTTTTAAACTCCTATAAAGCACTGGCATATATT